GAACTGTATTTATCTAGGTCCAATATCAGACTGAAGAAGAATTTGCCGGAGCACTTGTCTGACCAATCGGATGATGAGCCACTTGATTTGCTTGATCGGCAGAAAACAAGGTCAGCTCTTAAAACGTCTGAGCATCTGAAAAGAAAGTTAAGATTAGATGATGAGATGGAGGTAGATTCAGAAGGACGGTTGATTATCCGTGATGAAGGGGAATGGAGGAAGGAAAAACCTGCGGAGCTTGAGTATGACGCTAGGAGTGAGCCTGATAGTCACATGTCTGCCAAGTCTGGAACTAAAGCCCAAAAGCGGAGAAGAACATCGGAGTCCGGTTGGGCTTACACAGGGAAGGAATATGCCAGCAAAAAGGCAGGTGGAGATGTGAAGAGGAAGGACAAACTTGAACCTTATGCATATTGGCCACTTGATCGGAAAATGATGAGTCGCCGTCCTCAACAACGTGCTGCTGCAAGAAAAGGTATGTCTAGTGTCGTGAAGATGACCAAAAGCCTTGAAGGAAAAAGTGCCTCCGGTCTGCTCTCCCTAAAGGCCCCCAAACTTAAAAAGCCTCATAAGAAAGGCAGCAAGCAAAATAAAAAAGCAGCGCGTGCGTAACTTGATTTTCAGGTATCATGCAATTTTGAAGCTCCCCTATGCTGTATATCAATGTTAAATTAAATATTTTATTTTCATTTTTAATTTGATGAGAAATACAAGCAGGCTTTTGGGTTGAGTTTTCTTTGTGAAATCAATTGTAATGTTCTCATATTAACATTCTTTAAGGATGAGCCATAGAAATTCTTTTACAAAAAGGTCAGACCAAGTGTGGAATCTCAATCTGGCTTCTTATTGTGTTTAATTATCCATAAGAATTATATTCTAATAAATTTTTTTAATTAAATATGACAAAAATGAGTTTTTTTTATTTATTTAAAATTTTCATTGCCCATTACTTCTTACGTTTATTATTAGTATAAATGATTTTTTTTAAAAAAAATTCACTCTACATAGTCAGAATAATACAATAATGTGCGTTCTTATATTTGAACCAAGTACTTTCCTGTTTAACTTTTTATATATAAAGGATAAATGTGTTTTTTCTTTATACTCTATAATTTCTGGAAAAAAAAATTCTAGGAGTTTAATTCATGATATAATGACTAGTTGATTTTTATGGTCAAATGAAGTGTTTAACATTCCAATTCTTGAGGTATATATACACTGAAATGAGATACGCTGGTGCTCGCTCGGTAAAATAACCGTCTCTCTTCGAATATTATCATACAATTATTTCATACAATTGGCTTATCATACTATTATTTCATTATCCAACGTTGTCTAATGCGTTGGCTTCTACCTGCATTTTGCACTTGTCGTTTCGCATCGATCATCTTTTTTTTTGGATGTTTTTATGTGTGCGGATGCACATATGATAGGGAATTAATAATTTAAAGTATTTAATAAAAAAATAAAGAAATCCTTTTATTTTATTTTAAAATCAAATTCATTGAAGCGTGCAAAAATTGTTATTGCTGTTTTTCTAACATCATAAATTTCATATTATGTTAACCGAAAAGAATCTCTAAAATGTTTTTATTTAAATAGATACAGATTTATGATAGATATAAGAATTATTAACGGTTTTAATGATAAGTTAAATGAATTATATCATACATTTTAACATAAAGATGAAATACTTTTATCTTTCCAAAGAGAATAACATAATTTTCTCGTTTTTAAAGATTTTTAAAGATACCCTATATGATTTGCGCATAAAAATAGCTATTACAATTTGGAGAATGAAGTTCTTATTTTATCTGCTAGACATTTTTAATATGATCATTTACTTATCGCATACGGCGCCAAATGTTCAACATCAATTCATTAATGGAAAAAATATTTGAATGTGTGGAGCATCGAGGGGTTATCACACATATCTCCACATTAGTGAGATATTGTCCATTTTGGGCCCAAGCCTTCACGGATTTACTTTTGGACATCACCCAAAAGGCTTCTCAACTAATGAAGACAATTGTGTGTATATAAACCCATGTTCATCTTCTTGTTTGAACGATGTGGGACTTTGTTTGCATCCCAACAATCCTCGACACAAGGGATCCTAAACTTGGATCCACCTGTCAACCATCATACTCGTCGAGCCGGTCACCTAATCAGACCATCGGCTCTGATACCACTTGTTGAACACCGGAGGATTATCACACATATACACATGTCTCCACATTGGTGAGATATTATCCGCTTTGGGCACAAGCCCTCACGGATTTACTTTTGGACATCACCCAAAAGGCCTCTCAACCAATGGAGATAACTGTGTGTATATAAATTCATATTCATCCTCTTATTTGAACGATGTAGGACTTTGCTTGCATTCCAACAGAATGGAACCTCTGTAAGTCCATAGTAGCCAAGTTCTTTTGTGGTACAAGTGTTTCAATACTTAATATTTGTTGGAAGAGATTAAGATTACAGAAATTAGAAAGAATGTTTTTTTAGTATAACTTTCTTCCTCTGCATTGTACGAGATCTCTATCTCTAATATTCTGTCCCTCTATATTCTTACATGGGAAATACATTAGGAAAGAAGAATCCCGTGATTTTCATTGTGCATTGCTAATAGTTTGTCATCAGATCCTACGCTTTATTACTGCATAGGAGTTGGTATAGGATCAAAAGATTTTCCATTCCTTAAGTGAGTTAGGTTTTATGGACCAACTATTGACTTTAATGGATTTTGGCTAGTAAATTAGCTTTCCTGTATTGTGAATCTAGACCATCTGGATAGCGTGTGCTTTTTCACATGCTATATTTACAATTAGCCACACATAAAAATTAATCATCTCAAACTATCATTCTTGTATTTATCCATTGATCTTTTATGTGTTTATCTTTCTCAATCTACCTTATTTTCTCTCTCTAAATTGAAATTTGATAGTTATATATATATATATATATATATCCCCATATATATATATATATGAGTTAATCATTTATACATTGTGAGTGTAAAGTTTTTTACACTGCCAACCAATCATATCTTTTAAATTATTTTATTTTATTATTATTTCATTAAATAAACAATTGACATGACACTATTAAAAGATATGATTGATTGTCAATGTAAAAAACTTTATATTGGCAGTGTATAAGTGATTAACTATATATATATATATATATATATATATGAGAAGATATCTGTTTACTCTAGGAGTAAGTCTACCTATACTTACTTTGTTTAATAACTCATGTTTTACATCAAATTTCAACGATCTAACCGTTGAATTTAAAGTTCTTAATGCATAGATCAAATATGCAAATTTTTAAAAAATTTAAAAATCATTTGATACTTCGTTTTATTAATTAAAATCAATATATAAAATGATTTTATGATTATCTGTCAATTTAAATTAATAAAACGAAGTATCAAATGATTTTTAAATTTTTCAAAAATTTACAGAGTTGGTCTATGTATTAAGAACTTTAAATTCAACGATTGGATCGTTGGCAGAGTAAGTCTAGATAGACTTACTTCTGAGTAAACGAATCCCTCCTATATATATATATATATATATTGAATCATTGAAAATAACAATGTATCACTATTTAAATTATTTATTGTGTACCTAAAATTTAATTTATACATTCAAATATTTATTTATTATGAGCTTTTACTATAATAGAATTTATATATTTAGAACTATTTATTATAAACTTCAATTATACAAATTAAACAATCATAAACTTAGTGTAAGGCCAGGGCCCCCCCAAGTTTAAAAAAATACATTTATATAAATATAAATTAATGTGTATATATATAAACTTATAATTTTTAAAAATATTTATGTTATTAGTTATCATTAATATATATTTATAATACTTTTAAATATTCTCTAATATTGTTTTTTTTTTCTGTAATTAAACTAAGTTATAAAATTAATACAGAGAACTTTAATTTATAATTTTTCAATCATTTGTATAAAAATATTAATCTTTAGTCTTTCTTAACTAATTAAATAGAAAATGTGTACAAATTATTAAATCTTGACTGATTAAATAAAAATTTGTATAGATTGTCTATTCAATTAGTCAGTTTTCTTTTCATGATTTAATACTGTTTTTTTCTATAACTTTTTACATCTTTCTATTGTAGGTCAGGAAAGTTTCTCCATCTTGCAAATTTTTCCTGTGAATTTTTTTTTATGCAAATTTTCTATTAACTTTTTGATTTTCTTGTGAATTTTGTCTACACTCCTTTCTTCTTTTTTAAATTTTGCCATAATTTTTATAAATTTTTTTATTATTTCTTTAATTTTTTTGAAAAATTATAAGAAACATTGATTTTTTCCCTACATACTCTCGTATA